GCAATTACATAATTACTAATTGCGCATATGTGCCACACATTCATGGTAAAGGAACTCCACAGTCTACTGAGTCTTCAGGATCACGAAAAATCATCTACCCACATCTCGCCTTTGCTCCCCTACACCCCTGCCCGTCCGTGTCACTCCACGACCCGCCTTTTCCGCGACCCGGCCAACGTGCGACCTTCTCCGCACCCGAACAACGGATCCTCCAACACAGCGATCCGCCAAGACAGCGCGGCCAAGCAGCAAATCGCTGGTCCTGGACGGACGCCGGAGACCTTCTTCTCCGTCTCGCCCCATAAGACGAACGGAATCGATGTGGGGGAATGAAGATGAATCTGCTGGTGATTACAGATCGATGTTGAGGGCCAAAGAAAAGCCTCAATCACACTAGTATCTTGACCTGCGATTCTGATGTGGCTCACCACGGGACGTAAATGCGGCCGCTCGCGGCCGAACGGCCCGGCCTCGGCGGACCATCTCCCGGAAGAGCATGCAGGCGTACATCTCCGTGAGCACCTCACCCATTGCGCCCGACCCAACGGCGGACAATGCGGGGTTAAACAAGGGCGAGGAGGGACCCGAAGTGGTGGATGGTAGGACTCTTACTATTTGGGCGAATCATCGAAACTGCTTAAATTTGTATATGCCTTTGAAACATACATATATATATATATTACATACAGAATTTAATATATTGCAGTATGCATATATCCTGTTCTATATTGGTGTGAGCATTCTTAACTTGTTTGTGGTACTTCTTTAAACTAACCCTCTGGTACTTCTCCAGGTGTATGTGTCTCCAGAAGGAGCGGAGAAGAAAGGAAGAAAAGGATAGCATTACACATCATTACACACTCTTCACATCAACGGAAGCCTTGCCATCAAAGTCTCCACTTCAATGTGTTTGCGCACATCCCCAATATTGCACATACACAAGCTTGCGACAAAGGGTTCCAGTGTAGTCTAGAACTTGTCTGGTTTTGTACTGTCCCTTTCGTGCCTACTTGAGAGTGGCAAATGATGCTGGAGAGTCTTTTCACAAGTTCATGGATTCAGTACTTTCATTTGCACAACAAGGATGATGTCCAACCCAGGTTGACCTCTCTGCAAAGGTTTTTTGTACCCGGTCTGTGGCGGTTAGTCTGGTGGCTGGGTAGAGCCAGAAGTCACATATTCCAGAAGCATCGATGTGGATCGTGGATCATCCATACTCATGTCACTCACGTCTAAAGAACTGTGCCTCCATAAGCAGGCTGCTGGGAGTGATCAGTATGAATCGTTTTGGATGATATGCTTGATCAAGTGATCATGCACCTTTTTGACATGTGCTGTCTATGATTCATCATCCAGGCTGGTTGGGGGGGGGGACCACGATCTCCCCAGGCTGGTATTACATTTTAGACTTCTCCAGCCTGTGACCCAAATGTGAAACACAAAATAAGCTTATGTTTGGGATCCCCTGGGATTGTACACCAACCCTGTATATATATATATACACCAACCCGTCTCCCGAGTTCGGGGTGTCTAGAGGCAAGGGGCCTTTTTTTAACCAACTAGATGGGCTCTGAGTCCCTCTTACCAGTAGCAGTGGATGATGGTTAGTATAGGCCTTTCTCTAAAATAGTGATAAGTGATAATAATTGTTACTCACTGACTGTTACAGGTTTACTGGGACAGAACCAACACCTAGACCATGCAAAGCCCAAAGAGTGGATGGCCGACGAAGCGGGCTTCGGCCTCGCTGTCTACAGCGGAGGTTCGTCTGAATTCCTTTAGACTTTAACGGAAACACGTGGATGCTAGAACCTCTTCATGGGGAAGTCTGATTGTATATAAATCAAGAGCCTACACGAACTGCACGTATGTACGTAATATGCACGTACTGTAACATGCTTTTAAATCCACAGATTTTCAGGCTGAAACCACACCAGTGCTGCCTCCCGTGCGTTTCCGGAGGAGAAACACCCACCTTCGCCAGGTGCTTCGTCAGCATGGCGGTGATCTGTACGGAGCCCACGCCCGCGCTGCCGATCACCGCGCTCCTGTCCAAGCCTCGGCGGTTTATCGGTCGCGAGCGGTGGAGACTGCGGTGGAACCAATGGACGTAGGTCAAATAGGCGAGGAGAATAACCAATTCCATTGACAAAAAGAGGATTAGAACATATAATCTAAATATCTTAGAACATGGGGATTGTTGATTGTTGTTTGTTCTTGGCGTTCTTTGGCTGAAAAACGGCATGCCAGATCAGTTCTTGGTGCGGCCGAACAAAGAACAAGGTCTTGACACACATGAAACATGCATTCCATCAGGTCATTCCCTGGTGGAACAATGATGGTCATCCGATGTCGTCCGGGTCTTCATCCGATGTCGTCCGGGTAGGCTCGCCCTGTAGGCTCGATCAGCTGTCGAGCTGTCGACCAGACCGACCAGTAGTGCCACTGGGGCTGTGCCAATTTCCCGCGGTGTGACAGTGGACCTACACTCCGGAAACTACCTGATGTATGGGAAAGCAGTCTTCCCAAATGGTCGTGAGTCGGGTGCCAGGCAGACCTGGCCGCCTGGGACCAGGTCTGAGGCCTGGAGCAGCCCACGTCCCCCGGTGTCCCGGTGTCCAGCGGCCCAAGTCTTCGAAGAGATCCACGCGCCGCACGCCGTAGACCACGGAGCAAGAGCCGTCCTGGTCGGGTTCAGCGGGTTCGGCATCCCGGCGTAAGCAGTGAATGCGTGTCGAATACCAACGTATTCAAGCTGAAGAAAGAATCAGGGTCCATGAAAACTGGGAGTTCGTTGCCTTACTCCTAAGTTGGGAAAAACGATGAAAAACGTCAACATCTTACAAATCTGTGAGTTGTGGCCTACAAAAATCTAGAACTCCCTCTTGACATTGCCCCCTCCGTGCAAAACCCTAGGGATCCTGGCCTACATCCGTTTCGCAGGTGGTTGGGGTGGGTGCCAGGGGGGTCTGCGCCCACCTTCTCAGGATATGGTGCTCACTGCTTTTTGTCCAAGTGCAAATCGCAACGAGTCTTGAGGGATTTGGGTCAAGAGTCTTGAGCGATTTTGAAGGGGTTCAAAAGACCCGAAAGGAACTGACCTGACTTGTGTCAAATCAAATCCATCTATATTATATAATCAGTTACCATGAAGATTCCTCACCAGTGACTGTTCTCCAACATGGCTGGAGATTCCTTTCCTGTCTACTTCTATGCTTCTTTTTCCTCCTGCCCGCCCTCATCAAAAGCCCCATCTCCTTGTGGGTCGGACCCACCAGCTCCACCTGCCCGCGGGCACGCGAGCACACCACACGCGCACATGCCGTGCCCAAGCACATCGATCGATCGAAACAGCATGCAGCTGGTTCATGCAGCTTCCATGCACGACGTCCGACTCAACACGGGCCCGAACATGGCCTGCAAAGCAGCTGTGGATGAGCATGAGGATCATGAATCACCCACGTGATCTTGATGGCATATGATGGCGTGGCAAGAGTCAATGCGACACGCGAGGGCTCCATACAGCTGTCACGTGGCCATCCGAACTTCGAGATCCCCCCGCCCCACGGACTTCCAAGGTCTGAAGCCGCCTCAGCAGGGGCGCGTCCTTGGAAAATGCCCGTGCCATCAGGAGGGCAATCCACCTGAAGAGCAACCAGTCGGGTTTCGGACGGTGTTGGATTCATGTGTGTGTGAGACGGGGGTGTCCTTTTTCCTCTTCCAGCCTGTCTTCTAGGAGATATATTTGCTACATTATGGTACCCAGCAGCTTCGCGTTCACCGTGACTTCCAGAAAGCCAACACGGGCATTGGAGCCCATGTGTGACCCATGAAAGCCATATATTGGAAAAAAAACGCCAATCTCAAACGCCATGATGTCTGCACACAGTTTGGGTCACTGGATGCAATTAGTTTGGGTCACTGGATGCAATTAATGTAAGTTCATGTCTAAATTTGGAAGATTAGGGGTTCGTTTTCTGTTGGCAGGCAACCAGGGCTAGGTCACCCAATGATTTGTTGGAGTAAAAGCAATGCTTTACAGCTAGCAAGCACATCTGAGCACCCGACACTGAATCGTCAAAAAACGGGCAAATCCAGTTCAAGCATCTACATGCATTGGACACTGCTTGTACACAACCCACTACTCAACCCACTATGCAGTGTCCAGTGTCCATTGGATCAAAGTATTGCACCCATATCATAATAAATCTCCACCGTCCCTAGATTCTTGATCTGCCCATGTCCAAGGACCGTTTTCCCATCGGAACCACATGGGGCTACATGCTACTTCACCGGTGGAGTCCGCGCGCTAAAGATTTCTGCGAAACGGATGCCGTTCGAGAGGAGGACATGGCACTATAGGAAATCCACCAGGGGCTTCTCCCAGCTGCCACGGGGGAGGGCTTCTCCACTGCTCATCGGAGTGTATCAACTCTGACCCGCTGCACCATGCCTGCTCCACTGATACGAAAGAAACCTCGTGGTTCTAAAACACAACAGGACATCTAGCCCTCTTCTCAGTTGCCTCGCGAACATCGAATGCCGAGCTATGCCGAGCTGCTGTACACAGGGTCGCGCCATCCGGCACCAAAAGGTCATCCAGGACCATCAACAAATCTTCATCCGCCTGTGTGGTGCGGCTAGAAAAGCTCCCCGCCACAGGACCAACTCCGAGACAATCGGATTTGGATGGATTTGTCGATTTGTCTACCACTTGGATCGGTCAAGGCACAATTCGAGGGTCGTTGCGTCGATACACAGACCTATGCAAGGTCGCGCACATGCCCAGAAAAAGAATCGTGGTTGCTGAAAGAAGTTATGCTAAGCCAGGGACTTCCATTTCTATCTGGAGTTCACCTGTCAAGCTGGATCAATCTCCTCCCTGTCCTTCAAGATATGAACTAAACATACAAAAACGGACATCTATCGGAAATTATGTGTATTTAAATATATAGTTACAATATGTCTTATCTATAATCTAGCCTATCCGCAGCAGCCTCTTTTTATGTCACCTTGCTGGGTCAAGCAGCTTTGGCCAGCTTGGCTCTCTCTCTCTCTCTCCCCATTCTACGCCGCCATTTACGGCCCCTCATAGGGTGGATCTCCCGGCGCACGGTAGCGGTCGATGGGGCTTCTCAAGGCGTCCGATCCGTAGTACCAGCCATTGCCCTTCAACTCACCGGTGAGGCCTTGGAAAGTTGAAGCGGAGACCGTGCAGAGTCGAATCTGCAAAAGCGACAGAAGTCCGGGTGACGGTGCAAAAAAAGACACTCGGCAGGGTATGTCATGTATGCGACTCAAAGTCATAAAGGAGTCCTTGTTTCTTCGAAGCGTTTTGTTACGACTGAGTGTGTTGATTTGTAGCGAATGTGGTGTCTCCAGCGTGACTCTATCCATATGCGTATATATATATATATATACACATGTACTGTAAATACAGGTGCAATCTCCACCGCCCTGACCAGGAATTGCTTGTGCTGCCACAAAGCTGTGTGGCCGGACAGCAAATTGCCTCCATGGAAGAAGCACGAGCACTGTTGCTCAAAAACTTCCGGGTTGGCAAAGGTAATCCAAGTGCATGCGCTCAATGGTTGACGGAGATGGCTCGAGATCTACTGGCGCCGATCCCGTTCTGAGAAGTCTTTGTCATTCTGGCCCTCTTTCTTCCGCAGCTCACCTTTGTCGATGAGGCCATCACAAGACAAGAACTGTGGAGTAGCCCCACTGTGCGAAAGTTTGGCCCAGTCGTGGATGTCACACCCACAGCCACTGGGTTGCAGGGCATGCATGAATATCGCATAGCTTTTCCTTCGGGGTCGCAAACGGCTATCTTTTGCCCGGCGCACTTCCAAAGTTGTAATTTTGAACAACTCGCCAGCAGTCCCTTAAGTACAGTGCACATGGGCTCGCAGGCTGGGAAGGCCTATCGAATCGTTCTGGAGGACCACGGCGCGTGCTACTCAGTCTTGGCGCTCTTGCTGGCCTTTGTGTCTCCCTCTCGAAAACGAAAAGGGGACAAATCGCCAAGTGAGAAACTTCGTCGGCTGAGCAGTCCTCGGCACTGGGATGTTGCCTTAGTACCGTTCACGGAAGATTTCGTGCCGCTGCCCACGCCAGCCGAAACCGGACTAGCGTGCCCAGCACCATGGGCGTTCCCACCTAGCCTCTGCGTGCTTGAACCTAGAGCAACCAAGCTCCGAGTGTTGGCCATTGCGGAAGCAGGAGATACGGTCACTGCTGACCACCTTTTGCAAATGGCCTGCTTGGTTGCAGAGCACAAACCCACAGTGCTGGGTATCCCGGGCCAGGTGCCCATTCCGTATCAACTAGAATGCACGGTGGTCCTCTTGCAGAGCTTGCATGCTCTCTTCCAGCTGCTGACCTCTGGCAATACAATGCACTACTGCCCCCAAGCAGCCAGCTTTGCTGTTGCCCTGGGAACTGCCGCCCGGCATGATAATGGGCACATTGTTTCAATGGCTGCCAGTCTGGCGCTGGCCCTTAGAGCTGGCAGATCTACCTTGGCAGTCGCAGGTGTCTTTGGAGCGGGCAAGACTGGATCCCTGACCTTTCTCCTTGCCTGGCTGGCCCTCACCACTCACCTCAAGATTGCAGTGGTGCACAAAGAGAATCCAGCGGGTCGGGCAATTACTAAGCTGCTCACAGCCTTTGACTTAGAGCCGGACCACCAAAGATATTTCATTCGACCAGTAAGTGGGAAAGAGGCAGAGACTAACACAGCGTGCACGGACTACGACTTGCGAGCAAGCGAAGCGGCATCATACATCCCCGGCTGCCACGTGGTAATTGTCACGACTGGGCTTGTTTGGGACCAAAAAGGACAAATCCACTCCACACTCAACACCCATATGGAGAATGTGGACCTACTCATTAGCGAAGAGGCGCGGCGCAGCAGGACATGGACCTCAAATCTGCCTTTGCGCCAACAGTCCCCCGACAACCCTTCTTTCGACTACTGCTTGGTGATCCCAAACAGAGCCCTGGTGGAGTAGCCGATGGACAGAGGGCCCATCGCACGCTCCTACTTAAAGCTCCCATTGGGCTACGAGCCCCCACTACCTGGTGCATGCCGCATGAAATACCAGAAGTCTTTCACATGCTCCTCCGACACGGCCGAGGCTTTGGCCTTAGTGCACGTTGTGCTTGTCTCAGCCTTCCTCCAAAAACATGGGACATATGCCGTATCACCCGTGCCATCGTGAACCTTTTGGTTTTCCACAAAATGGATCCAAGCTACGAGTAGCAAAGTCTGGACATGTCTGGACCACCAACAGCCAACTTGCGCAGTCACGCACAGCCCCCATAGCTGGGTAGTGGAGTTGTGAGAGGTTTGCGTATGGGATGCCCAAAATATGTCAAGACCATGGGATTCTGACAAGATTTACACCCACCTACATCGGGAGTTAGCCTCATTTTGCGGCAAATCCTGAAATCCATATGGTTGCATGCCAAACGTTTGTAAGATCCAACTGACGCAGTTTGTTACCATCACGATTCCATGAATAAAACGTGTCAGGACCTGCTTGTCCACCAACCTTGCCTGACGCAAAGAAAACATAAGAAAACTTTGCGAGTCCTGTCTCAGCAGGACTACCATTTCCACTGGCTCATTATTCCCCCCTAGCCCATGAACCAATTTTGCAACGTTTCATTGATAGACTTCCCAAAACCGTCCAAAGCTGCCCTTCCGCAAAAGATGTGACACTGAAAACTTAGACCGTACAAATCCAAAGACCCAGAAAACTGGATCCTTTAACTAATTATCAGTAGTGTTTTTTGTGTGATCAACTCCAGGGTCTTCAACCTGTAGGGGAATCGATGCCATCGCCTGCCGCGACTTGAGCTACGACTATAACCTGCTGATCCTGGCTTTCGCGACGTCAAGAAAGACACGAGTGGCCTTTCCTACATGTGGGCACAGAACTTCATATCCACCCTTCAAGTGCAAATATGATCAACAAAATATATTATTTATATATAAATATCTATCGATCTGTGTGTGTCTCATTTTCACACCTTTGCCGTTTTATACCAGTCTTGCATAGGGCCAGGGGTGTGTAGGAAACTCGGCCGAGCTTGATTGGGTAGTAGTAGTCATTAGTAGTCCCTGTTCTTCTTCTTCCGTTCTTCGTCAACCACAATATGCGGCTTTGAGAGTTCCCGCTCCGAGCCACAATATATGGCCGCTTTGGTGCCCTCCTCCGGAGGCTTGCTTGCCCCCATGCCCCGAGTGATGTCGGTGAGGATGTACCCTGAAAAGGCCGTGTTTGCGCAGCCACCCGATCTGGAGGGATCTTCAGATGCATCGTATAGTAGACCCCGCCCGATCTGGAGAGCTTCAGATGTATCGTAGACCGAGGTGGGAATGGAGTCCATGAATGAAGACATGATTGTTCGAGCATGCTCGAGCTATCCACATGGACTCACTTCGAGGAGCCGCGAGGAGTACGTCACTTCTGGTCAAGCACCATGAAGCACCCATGGAGGGCAGGCGGGGATGAATAATTGTTGATCCTGGATGTGCATGCCCAGCAACCAAGTTTGCAAGGTGATCAACATTAAAAAGTCGTCAAAGATATGCTGGGCGTACCAAACATATCCGATGCTGGTTTTGGTGTGCCGGGCATGTCGATTGTGAAACAGCTGCCGTCATTCGAGTCATTCGGAATGAGAAAGGTTCAGTTGAAAAAAGGTTTAGCTCCAAATGTGCCAAGAGTTGTTACAGTGGATTTAGAGTAGATGGCACTGGTCCCCGAAGGTGTCCTGAAAAGATGGGGGTCCACTTCTGAACCACTGGTCACTGGTCCATTGGACATTTTGGCCATTGAACCTCTGAAACCAACGTACCTGCAAAGGCTAATCCAGGGAAGTCTGGTGTTTCTGACCTGGCGATTCACGCCCAAATGTCCCCCTGTTGGTCCACTTCTAACCATTGCTCGGCCATCAGCCCCTTCAGCAACTGGCTGCTGGACGAGGCTCAACATGGTATTCCTCTTAACACCGACATTTCGACTTCAATCCTTTTTTGAAGTCACGCCATGTCAAGCGCCTTTTCCTGTGCAAACCACGTCCCTGTTCGGAAGGTGCCTCTCAAGATGCCAAGTTGCCAGGTGTCATGGCGTTGATCTTCAAAGTGGGATGCTCGCGGGCTAGGATCATCGTGTAGGCAATCAAGCCTCAGTAGCCACCGTTCTTTGTCCAAAGGTTTGGCCCATACAGATTCCCCTCCAAATTGTACGGACTGTTTCCGACTGCCCAGGCGCAGGCTTTTGAAAAGCCATATGGTTGTCGACCAGCTGGCTCCTGACACATGCTTGGGCAAAAGGAGCATGGCTCAAATAGGCACACTTCGCCCGAAAAAAAAAAAAAAAAGTTGTACAAACCAGCAGTCACAAACGGGTCGTGTTTAGTCTCCAAGTGAGTGGACAATGGGCACCCATTTGGAACCACTGGAGCATGGGTAGTCCAACTCCGAGGTTAAGTTGACCGCCCCCTTTCAGAAGGAGTCCATTAGTAACAAGTGCATCGCTACTAGTAACAAGGGCATTACTACTAGTACGAGTACCAAGAAGCTACTAGTAGCCATGCCCCTGTTTCTAGTAGCTTCTTTTTCCTAGTAGCGATGGCCTCCAACCTCATAGGATGGCCTCCACCTAGTAGCTTCTAGTTACTAGTAGCATTTTTTCCTAGTAGCGATGGCAGGCCTCCAACCTAATAGGATGGCCTCCACCTAGGAGCGTCCCTGCTCCTAGTAGCGAGCGATGCCCTTGTTACTAGTAGTTTCTTTTTCCTTGTAGCGATGGCCTCCAACCTAAATAGTGATGGCCAACACCTAGTGTAGCTTCTAGCTACCAGTAGCCTTGTTCCTAGTAGGTTCTTGCTACTAGTAGCGACGGCCTTCAACCTAATATTGATGGCCTCCACCTAGTAGCGTCCTTGCTCCTAGTAGCGATGCCCTTGTTACTAGGAGCTTCTTGTTCCTAATGTTTATATAGTCCTAATTGCGATGGCCTCAACCTAGTAGCTTCTTGCTACTTGTAGCATCCTTGCTCCTCGTAGCGACGCCCTTGTTACTAGTTGCCTCTTGTTCCTAATAGTGATGGCCTCCACCTAGTAGCTTCTTGCTACTAGTAGCGTTTTTGCTCCTCGTAGCGACGCCCTTGTTACTAGATGTTACTAGCTTAGCTTCTTGTTCCTAATAGCGATGACCTCCACCTAGCAGCTTCTTGCTACTAGTAGCGTCCTTGCGACGCCGTTGTTATTAGTAGCTTCTTGTGCCTAGTATAGAGGGCCTCCAACCTAATTGCGATGGACTCCACCTAGTAATTAGCTTCTTGCTACTAGTAGCGTCCTTGCTCCTAGCGACGCCATTGTTCCTAGTAGCTTCTTGTTCCTAGTAGTAATGCCAGTAGCTTGTTGCCGCTATCGCATCCAATCGCATCATCTGCTCCAGCAACTGCTCCGTCCAAAGGTCCCACACCCAAAAAACACACAAACATCACATGGAGCGCATCACATGGAAATGGACACCGTGTTATTTGTTTTTATTGTAAAGGAAAATCGGACAAACCAATGGGTCTATCTGTTATGGAAAATGAGGGCAATGTGCTCAGTAGAGCTTGCTCAATCGCTCCTGGATGGCCTTCTGCATGCATGCGTCGAGCTCCTCCCATGTCACGTCCTGACGCACGCGCTTGCTCCCAGATGGTGAAACCATGTGAAAACCTCACCTGATTGACACCAACCGTCAGAAATGTTGGGAACCCTCTGCTCAGCTTTGGACATTGCAGGGTGTCCAACCCTCATGTTTTTGATTCCCTATACTTGAGCGTGATCTACACCGGCGCGTTTTTTTCACACACGCCCCAGGCCGCCCGAACCCACGTCTTTCTCAGATCCGCTCAGCTTGGGTTTGAGCTCTCCGCCCAAACGGGACGAAAAAAGGAAGCCAAAAAAAGGTCGGTGTGCAAGGATTCCGTGTCAGCGAAACGACGTCGTGGTTTCTTGAGGCGGCTTTGGTTTCGAAGCCCGGAAATCACTACGTGACACACTGACTGGTGGTTGGAAGTTCGGGGCAGCAGAAAAGTAGCATTCACACATATATATATATATACATTATGGTTGTTTTTGGCATGACTTTCGCGCCTTTTGTTTGTTCATAAGCACAAACGGGACATACAGGGGCTGCAGCGCGACACCCAATCCAATATCTCCAATCTATTCACCCTGAAAGTCAAAGTACCATGTTTTTAACTAAAGTTGATCTGGTGTTGTAGGTTAAACCATGTTAAACCCCCTTGGTCCAAACAATGCTTCTTCGGGATTCAGGCGGGCCACATGGTGGGCCACGACCGACACGGTTCCGGGTTCCCCACATCGGACGTGAAGGAGGTGGTCTTCACAAGGACGGCCCCCCATGGAATGGATGAACCAAGAGTACTGGTCTTCACCGACATCACCGAATGAACGACCCAGGATTTTCGGGTGATAGATCCATGTTTTTTGCCCGACATTTCTTGAACTTCACCCAGATTGATACATAGCTGTTCTTAAAAAACACCCCGCATCGCCCCCTAGACTCACCACTGAGTCACTGGGCTGGTGAGCATCGCCCTTTCGGCTGACGCAGCTGCGCTGTTGTAGTTGGGACCCGAAGCCGAGGCGGTATTCACGATGCGGCCCTCCTTCACACGGCGCGCGCACGGCGCGCGCCCTTTCGGTGAATCCGAAAGAACGCCGGGTTCAAACAGGGAAGGCTATCATAAGCTGTTCGAGTAACACACACCCAGGAGGAGCATCAGCATTTTGCATGGGTCTGCAACATTTGAGCAAGCAGTGCTTGTTGCTCTCTAGGACCATTAATGTGCACATTGATTCTGGTGTTTTGGTTCAGCAGAGTTGGCTCCACAATTTGCAAAAGTGCGGCACAAGGCTGATCAGAAGAGAATATATACTATTGATGCATAACTATAACCTAGCACTAATGGTGGGGACCAGGGTCCCCCAGCTGTTTAATTTCGGAACATTAAATGGGGGTCCCTCAGTTGTTGAAAACCCAGTTGTTGAAAACCATAATTAAATAAGAACTCAATGAGTTCAAACATGAATCCACTGAGGTCCAGCCAACTCAATGAGCTGCCATTACATTAAATAAAATAGCAACAAAAAAACATACAGTATAATTTTCAATGATTGGTAGCGAGAAAAGAATAAACTATTCAATGTTCTTTTTAACAAATAAACCAGAGCTCGGCTACTTTGATTGAGTATTGAAAATAATTGTCCTTTGGTGGGAGTTCTGAATTACCTTTGGTTTAAATAATTGGCTGAATTATGCACAAACTAAACAAAGGGTAGTCTAACCCAAACAACTGGCTATTTATTTAATTTCTTGACCTGGCCACTTGAAGACCCAGATTGTACTATTCTTGACCTTTTTGTTCTTAATGTAAAAGCCTCCAACCTAACAGCGAAGGCCTCCACCTAGCTAGTAGTTATGGCCTCCAACCTAATAGCGATGGCCCCCACCTAGTATCTTCTTGCTACTTTAGCTTTTTGTGCTTTTACGCCCGGAAACCATGTAAATACCGATGGTTTTGAGCACTCAGTATGATTGTGCCTTGTTGGCAGCATTGGGTGTGCCACCACTGGACCAAGAATTAGATTCTGCCTGTGGGAGATGTCCACCCCACCCCATTCATTTGTGGGAAGGGCCAAAACCACCAAGAGTCTTTTGAGAACCCTTCATGGAATTTCATGGAACCATGAAAATGCCAAGGGCCAAAAAGACACCAAGGACCCAATTCTGATGTGGCTGATGCTGGCAAGGACAGCAAATTCACTGTAATTACACATCAAACGCTACATTGCAAACTGCTTTATCTTTTCTTCAGCGTTTTCAAGTTTCGTCTTGCTGTCTTGCCTCGAAAAGGGCGAACAACCACCACGACGTACCACATGTCATGCGACGCACCAAAAAACGAAATCGTTTAATTTCCTCTTGCGCCATGATTGGTTCAATTTTCCAGCTTCACGTAATTAAATGGTGAAAATGAAACTGGAGGTCAGGGTGTACCGCATTTAATTTACACACGGACCGCAAGGATTATATATTATATAGGAATGGAACCTGTATGAGGAGCTCTCCTCCGAGACAAACCAGATCTTGGACGATGAGGGAAAAATCCTGCATCGCTTGCCTAGGGCGTCAGCTCATCGTGCTAATCTCGTACATAAGAACCACATCTTTACACATCGTCCTTGCTTCGTCTTGTGCTTAGCCAGTCCTGGGGGTCGATCAGTGGCAAGAAGTGGTCGCAAACGCGCTTTGGACCATATGTGTTGATGTTCAGCGTCTCGGCCATGGAAGTCTGAAATCCCACGCCTCGTCAGCCGCTGTTCCAGCGAGCGGCTGAAGGGGGTTGAAGAAGAACATGGCCCACAGAACCTGAATGTTGGACTCTTGACTAATAACAACCCTATTTGAATTGGACATCCTTTTCATATGTATTTTTCTTTCTTGTCCATTGCTGCACAGCTCAGAATGGTATCACCACAGTGGCCAAACCCAGAAGATCACGTCCCTGCAAGGCTAGCTCAGTGTGTGCGCAAGGGTTCCCTGAAATGCCAACACAACAACAAACATAGCCATAGCCACAACGGCTGGCGACAGCAATGGCAAGGCACATGGACGGGAGCAACAAGCAGCAGCATGACAGCATCAAAAACTCAGGGATCAAACAATTACAAAAGAAACGGCAAGCCAAGCCACATTGACATGGTTATAGCGCCAATGATAACCTGTGATTGGCCAGCGTTGCAACAGCAATGACAAGTCACGATGAACAACCATAGCAAGGCAAACTGGCAAACTGAAACCATCAAGTGTGAATAAAAACACGGAACCCCTCCATTCAGGATTGGAATCACTTCACACATTTCCCGTATATTATATGTCTCTCAAAGGTCTTAGGCGCACAAAGACGACCAGGCGTGTTTCAGCCAATGTCCCACACACCAATGCCACTAACATTCCGGGACGGTTGAGGGCAAGGTGGCGTGCTCGCCTGCGTTGTTCACGATGCCATAGAGTGCCTCAGCTCCATACCTTGGAACTTTGAGGGCAAAGAAATACTTCGAATGAACGGTTGATGGTGGTTGGCCAGAGCTACCAGTTGTAACATCCTACGGTTGCCTAGAACAGCCTCAAAGAACCTATGCTGGTGCAAAAGGCGAAGATAAACAACATACCAAATGAAGCTCACACAATCTCACACATATAGCAACCTTTCCGCCTTTCTGATGTGGTGATATATCACCTACTATTCATACCTATTATTCATTCCATCCTGGTCGCCGGCCAGTCTTCCTCTGAAATTCGTCCCAAAAAAAGACCCAACAGAAAGTCATCCAGAATTTTGAACTGCACGGTAATATTTGTGTATATGTAAATGCGAACGGATGGAAAGCGTGCCCTGGCCCCGTTCAAGCCCTTAGTTCGACATGAAGCTCGCGCGCAATAGCTCCTTTTCGCCTGGTTGGGCACTTGAGCCAAATGTTTATGGCAAGTGTCCATGTTGCAATTGTACTGGGACCTCATCTCTATTCACACCCCCCACATCCGTGCTTCGACGGGGAAGGGAGATGATTGGATGTAAAAAACCGGAGAACAATCATGTTCTCAAAAGTGCGTTGGAGGTCAACCAGTATGTCTTATGAAATTGAATTAGCAAACGATCTTGCATTCGCTTGAAAGATGGATCAAACAGGTAATGGAGCTACAAACGGAAAACGTGCATCTACCTGTGGTATCATATGATTACCGACGGTGTGAAACACAATCCTATCTCACTCCCATGATGCCAAAATGGTCATCATGAATTACCCAAGATCCCTCAGTACGTGAAGTACTGGAAGTAGTGTGTCGGCACGACCCCAATGCTCAACCATTCGTGAGTTGTCGCATGTAGTCAGCTCCGACAAAACCAATGTAGTCCTTGATGAGCTCAACGTTCCTTGGGTTTCCCCTTCGGATCTGCTCCTCAAAGAGCTTCAATTTCTGTGTTTGTATATCGGATACCTCTATGCCGTAGTAGCGGCATGCAACGAGGATCTCCTTTGTGACATTCTTTCGCTCCGATTTGATGGCGGGGCTAATGTCAATGAATTTGTATGGAGCGGTACCTTCGTCATCTGGCTTCTGGTAGTAGCTGTATCGGCTCGCTCCGAAGGTCTTCCTGATCAGGCGTCTGATGAAATTTGAGATGAATGCCAGCTTCTCGATGATCTCTTCCTGGGTCTCAGATCTTCGAGCTTTTGGATCACTCATGTTACGCCGAGTGCTGCCGACCTCTCTGAGATACTTGTGGCTTAGCCCGCAGCGAATTGCAGTGATCATCATCGGGTGAATAACGTGGGCGTGGAATTCATAGATCTGCCACGCTTCTGTTGCATATGTGTCGTTGGTCCATTTGCTCATGCCCACGACCTCGGCTCTCTGAAGGCGTCTTGGAAACCCAGTATCCGGATCATTCGGTACTAATGGCCATCTATTGAATGGAGTGTCATGCCGCTGTCCATCGTCGAACTTTCGCAGTACGTCTTCACGATTCTCAAAGCAATTGATGTCGAACGTTGCGTTGGCCAAGCTCTTGATCAACTTCATCAACCTCAGATCAAATTGCTGTGTGACTGCAAAGTTGTGGTCGATGGGGATCGCGGCTTCCTGTGGCAATTCGTCAATTGCGAAGGGGAAAGGCTGTGGAAGTTCATTCCCGTATCCATCTTGAGGGACCTCCCGATACTCGGGTTCGCCTTCAGCTTCGTCCGGTCGTTCCTTCATGATGATAGGAACTCCCTCGTCTTCCTCTCCTTCGGATTCCTCGACGTCAATGACTTCTTCGGCTGTCTTGCGTGCTTTCTTGATGACTTCGTCGATGTTTGCACCTGCAGAAGAAGTCGCTTCACCGGAAGAACTGGCTGGCACGTCTCTCGGAGGTGATCGTTGATTGCGGTCCCTTGTCTCCTTGGGTACCACATGCGTGAGCTTCCCATTCGCGATCAAAACCGCTACGCAGTGCGGACATATCGTCAATCGCACATCGACCTCGCCAAGGCAGTTAGGACACGGTCTTGAATCGTAGTCTTTCATTGCTCGGCGATATACGATCTCCTCAAAGATCTCCTGCCACTCAGTGCTATCATATTCTGGGTAGATACCACTCTCCTCGATCGTGCCCAACAGCTTTGAGATTTTGGCGTCGTCCTCAGAGTAGGTATCGTCCTGGACCTCGATCGCCAAACTCTCAAGCTTTTGATAGCGTGGAGTCATGATCGGGTTTCCGTATTTGGACTCCAGAACAAGGTAGCTTCCAGGGTCGGGTTCTCTATTGAGTAACCTGATCCATTCGATCTCCTCAGGCTGTCCGGGTTCTGCATTGTCGCATTGCAACCATGCCCCTTTAACCTCATCGAAGGGAACGACATCCTCAACCAATAGAGATCCAGTCGCTGAGATGAGAAGCCCGTACTCCTGCAGCTTCCACACCGGAATGTAGAGAACCACTGGGCGATCACTCAATGCGACCTTACGACCCAGCCAAGGTTTTCCCTTGTAGCCCTGTTCCCAGGCCCATGGCGGAAAACATGTGAAGTGGATAGAATCCCTTCCCGATAAACCGAGACCTCCTGGCACCAGCCCCCGTCGCATGATTGAAGTCAGCGCTCCAAGGTTGGTAGCGTGAAATGCAGTCACCATGGATAGGGCCATGTCGTTGGTCATTCTCGATCCAATGTGGTCGATGTTGATGGTGACGTCATAACCTCCGCCGTCCGACGAGTGTGCTGAGGTTGCTCTTACGGCCACGGGAAAGCACCATCCATCGCTATTGTGGAGTCTTGCTTTGGTGATTCCCATGCCCTTGAGCTCGTCAATCCATTCCTTCTCCATCGGGTCATCAGGATCATTGAGTTCATCAGGGTGAACGCGAACTGCCAACATTTGGAACCTGATTCTCTTGGTTATGCGGAAACACTCGTAGTTCTGGTCGAGGTACTTTTCCAAACGCGCCTTCTTGGTCACGATGTCAATGTTGCCATAGTGATAACCGTCTTCCCAAACCGCGTTATCACCTAATAGGTCTTCCCATGACACCCACGCGCCCTCGTCGCATTTGATTGGAGTGAGTCTTCCTCCTGTCCTGAACTGGCGTCCAATTCGATGTCTCAACTTCGCTCCCAATCGGCGACTCAGGGCCTGGCTCGCTTGGCTGTACTCTGGTACTCGACAGTCTGGAGTCGGATACTTATGGTTGCCGTAGTCGGAGTTCTGTGCAGCGAAAGTGACTCCATTGATCGGTACTAGCTCAACTCTCCCGACCATTGTCATGGGGTCGATCGGCTTGTATCCCTTCTCCCTCCGTGTCGGTAGGGGATAGAATTGATGACATGCCTTTGGTTTGAGGGAACTGGAGTGCACAAATGCCTTCTCCACAAACTCGTACACCACCTTCATATCCCTAGGGCCTACTTCAGCCAGCTTCCGCCCGTTGTAGGAATGTGTCCCTCCTTCGACTCCATCAGCACTTTCAATCAAGGTGAACCCGTCATGGTCAAACATTGTCACGACTCTTGCTTTCAACATCTCTTTTCGCCTGAACTCGCTGTCGACCTTCCTATCTGGAGTAGGCGATGCTCTCTGCTTCTTCTTCTTAGGCCCCTCGGCTGGATGTCCGGATGGTACATCGTCGGGTGCAACCTCTCCCTTCACTCTCTTTTTCCAATCACTCAGCACTGAGGTGACTGTGGGTGAAGATGAAGGGGTCTTCTCGCAATTGAGAGTTGTGTGTCCCGACTTCATGCAGTGGATGCAGAATTCTGCTTGCCCGATCTTCTCCTCAAACTCTTCAATGGCTTGCAGTATTGATGTCTTCGGGTCGGACATGTCAACGTCTGGCTCCTCCTTCTCCTGTTCAAATTCAGTCTCCATATCGACACCTTCGGCCTCGGGCTGGTCATTAGCCTCTGTTCCATGTTCTGGTTCTTTCCCGATTTCGAAGAAGTGGTCGATGTCAAATTCAGGAGGCGGCATGGTCCTCATGCGAACGAGAATCAGTGCCACGTTTGCCGCCTCTTCAGAGTGCGGGTCCAATGTCCTGATCATCGATCGCTTTCGGTTCTCATACGTTGTCCTGTCGTACAGTGATGCAGTGACACGCTTGATGGATTCTTCTAATCCCGTCCTCAAAGCCTAGATGTCACCCCATCCCGAGAACAGGTGTTTGAAGAGTTGAGCAACTTCTAACATGCCCAGCAGCGCTTCCACCATATCACCTACCCGTTCCTCCGAGGGATCATCTCCGAACATATTGCGGAACACCTCGGGCTCCAGTATGGTCTTGAGATATTTGGTGTAGCACACGTTGCCAAGGTCATAAGATCCCTGAAAGTACATGGCCTTGCCGATTATCTGCTTCTCCACATGAATGCTGGGTCCTCTCCTCGTTTTGAAGAAATTCTCCGTCATTGTTGATGACAACCTGATCCCCCCGAAGAACGAGATCTCCTTTTGGAAGCCTGGGTTCCCGTTAAAGATGATCATCGCCTCATGTAAGAACTTCATTAGATCTACGTGCGGGTTCATTTCGGAGATCATGACGGTGGGAGATGATACCGTTTGCCCCATGCCGAAGTTGTAAAGCATTCGAGCACATGCATGGAGCCGCTTCTGGACGTAGTCTTCTGCGGACATCCCACGGCACCTATTTGCTGCTCCGTTGATGCATTCTGCATAGCAATCATCTTTCTGATCGGAGTCTGCGGGATCGCAGACCAAACAGTAATCGCAGCAAATCTCCTCACCCTCCTTAAAGTCATCGATGACGTACCACCTCTGAGTCCTCGAGTAGATTGGCTCTGGTTGAAGGACTCCCCAGTACTCATCCATCCATGGCATCTTGTTCTCTCTCCTTACCTTCTCCCTTTTCCTTCGCTCAGACTCGTTCTCACCTGAAGCTCCCGCAGTGGACTGGTATGCATGGCTTCCCCTCACGGAGTCTCCGAACAAGTACTGATACAACCTCTCTTTGTCCTGCAACACGTGTTCCAAGT